AGCTAAAAATTGTTGGATTATATCAAAAAACTAATAACTGAGCTCAGCAACACCGGAATTTCAGTATTGCTGAAATTAAAAAAATACCGTGTTGAAGCAGTAGCATCAAAATTGAACTAAATAATCATTTTATGACTAAGCTGATTCTTGCATGGTTGTAGCATATGTTGTAATATGAAGAACTTAAATAGGGCAGGACTAGAACTAACTGTGTATGTATAGATGTAGAAATATAGCTGGTGTAGGCAAAATAAGTGAGTATGAGTTAAAAAGTTTCGGTCCATTAAGTCATATACGTCTTAGCTCAACACCGCAACTGGACCTAACCTGTGCTACTGATTGTTTTGAGAAAACATGCGTACAGTTAGCTGTTAACAATAAATTGCATTTCTCGGATTATAGAACACTGACAAGCATTATTTCCGTTCTTTTAAGATTTTACTGAAAGGCGACAGCGGACTGCAAATTACCCCGTTACCCGCCGGTCATATGATTGGTGGTGCAATTTGGCGTATCACAAAAATGGGTGACGAAGAGATCGTTTATGCTGTTGATTTCAATCACAGAAAGGAACGGCACTTGAATGGTTGCACATTTGAAGGTATTTTTAGCACCATGCATATTCGTACAGCACGTTGAAAAGGGCAGCTAGCTTAGAGTGTTTGCTGTTCATGCTGGATATTCAGTCATCGATAGTACCTTTCACGAAAACACGAAGCGGACACCGCATTTTGCTTGCGAAAATACATGTTCCGGCGAATTTGCTCTATCTGTTACTTATTCGTTGATTTGTTTCGGTGGTATTGCGTATGATATGGTATAAGACGGTCATGAACTCTCCTCAAAGCGAATTTCAAAAAAAATAAATAGCAACGCGCACCAGACTAGCCGGTACGATCATGCGTTTTGTGCAATCCACCCCATCGAACGATTGCCTATTAATGATTTTCACTGCTTTTTACTGTAGTCTATGCAAAAATAGTTCAAACACTGAAAAACGGTTAAAAATTTTACGCACCAGCGCATGAAAGCTGAATTCGAAACCTTGTAGGATGAATATCTTTATCACGAGTTAATAGTTTACTCGCCAAAACTTTCACGAGGCCGTAGGTGATGCTCTACAGCGCGGGAACGCTAAATTTGAATGGGTAAGGTTGAGCGTTGGCAGGGGGTT